TGTTTTTTTTCTTTCTTTCTTTCTAAGACTTATTGAAGATAAGAACGTGAAGTTGTTTGTTTGTTCACTTCTTTTAAAATGATATCTTAAATTTACTTAAATACGTACTATCTTTGCTATTTCTACTACTAGCACTACTGCTATTACTAACAAGGGTATTAGTAGTATATAAGTGCCCAAAAGAATATTTTTCTATCTATGTTTATCAATGTGTATAGTTGTGAAATTTTATGTATAAGCACTTAACTAAACAATCAAGACGAAAAAGAAAGGTATCTAATGAAAGGCCATAGTACGATAAATATGTAATGTGTAGGAAGAATATTATTATTATTATTACTATGAATAAAAACGTAGGCGATAGGGAATGTATTAAAAACATATATACACATATATATATATACTATTTCAGTAAAACAAATTAATTACTACCACCCTTACTTTTATCATTATCAGTGTCTTAGTATTATAATAGTAGTATATGCCCCCAAAGTTATTCGTATTATTTATACTTTTCTTCTCGTATCCTTCCTCTGTGATTTCACTTACTCAAACAAAGATACATACACACGCATATGTGTATATGTGGTTATATATGCTTTTTATCATTTATGGTATTACAGGGTTACTCATTATTATTATTATTATTACTATTATTACTATTAGTGATATTGTTAATATTGATAACCTGTCCTCTAGTTAATATTTGTATATATGTAAATATATATCCCTAATGAGAATGAATGAAACGATAAGGTTTATAAGGGTTTTCTCCTTAAAACTAATACTTTATGTCAGTTAATAATAATAACACTACCGTTACTACTACTAATAGTAATAGTAATGAATTAAACAGACAATATTTTTTGGTTGTAAAAAAAATCTTAATTTAGTGATGATTAGTAAATAAAGAAGATTGGACTTTCAGCTTAGAATTCAATCATCACCATCCATATCCATCCACCTCACCTATTTATCTATCTATCTATCTATCTTTTATAAAATATAAGGTTAATAAATCCAAGGGATATATATATATGCTCTTGTTAATGTGGGTTAGAGTGATACCAGTTTCCGGATACTGATGGAGTGTTTCATGAAAAATTAATATATTACACATTAAGAAAAAGAATATTTTTTTTCTTCTAAAGGAACATATACATATTATTCCATTTTTGTTTTTAATAGAAAGCAAAGAGAAACAAAAAAACCCCACTGTTATTCAATTTACTCTATCAATCAATTGTTATAGAGTATTGTTGCCAATAATTTAATAACAATGACCACTGTTACAGCTTGTTACATTCATTTCAATTCTAATTCTAATTCTAATAATAATAATACTAAAGAAAGATAATATGAGATTATGAGTTTAGTTAAAATGACCAAATTATATGATTAAAGTTTTAAGTAGTTTTTCTATTTTGATCTAAAATGTTATCTGAATAAGCAAAATACGGAAAGTATAAACTTCAAGAAGTTGGCTTCGAGCTTATGTGTTACATTTTGCTTATATATATACATGAAGATATGAAATGAATGTAGTAAAATAGTAGGAGAGTTCAAATAATCATAGTGCACTGAACGAGAATGTCAGCGAAGACAACATTATAGAATATCTTGATAATATTTGAGAATTGTGAAGTAAATAGTTCATTTGCAAAATGTTAATCATTTGTTTCAGACTTAATTATTCCTTCATTTCCATATTAATCACTCTCTATATGTTCTTGTTTTCTTCTCTTTGATTTTCTTAACCTTCTACCTTTAGGCATTCCATATTCCATTGGTGATACATACTATTTATATCTGTCGACACCAGTATCACCAATAATAAAGGGGATAACTAAACATTAGTAATATAGTTTTTAAAAAAGCGTGGAAAACAACATCTTCAGGAGCACTAGAACGTAAGAATTAAAGTAACATAAAGAATGAATGGATCTACTCAATTGTGACTGATTTTATGCCATGATACACAAAGTCTTCAACTATCAAACATAGTTATCGCACGAATTAAAACTAAGTGATCTACATTTGCAAATATTGTTCAGATCAATAATCAATCACTTCATGAACTAATGTAATACAAATGTACAGCTTTCAACCATTAAGTAGTAAATTTAAGTAGTATAAACACTAAATATATGAAAATTATATTGCAAAGTTCAGTATATAATCCTTATATTTTAGAAATTACATAATTAATAAAATAATTCAGTAATATTAAACATGAAATCGTTTAACTAAAAAGTAGATTATCAAGTTTTTGATTGAGATCATGAATGGATTGATATTAGATTACCATTGAAAATCTGGGAGCATTGGACGACCATTTCGTCCTAATGTGGGACTTGTCACCAGTAGGCATATACGGTCTCGCTCACGAGATTCGAACCTAAGGCCCTTGGTCGTGCACGCAAACGCTTAACCTACCTGACCACTGAGTCGGTATCCAACAGTGTTAATGTCTAACCTTAACCAATCCACAAATTTGTTCGATCAACTTTCATTGTACTGGTGTCAATGGTGGTTTAACATCAATCGGTTCATGATCTCAATCAAAAAAATAAATTATCATACAAATCATGATGAACAAATGACATACATGATTTAACTCATTCACTTAGTATTAATAATAATATTAGTAGTGATTACAACAACTGTAAATGACATATTATTAAACTCTGTAGTTAGAGACTGACTTATTTCCCCTTTCATTACACCGGTTTATTGTCAAAAAATAAATCGAACATAGATCTATATCAATTTAAAAACCTCATTGTTTGTAAATGACTAGATCAAATTAATGATTTAAGTACTAATGAAAATTGTTAAAGTTACAGTATTGGCATGTATCATAGTATCATTGAATGAACCAAGACTGTGTTTGGTAATTATGTCGTTCAAATTAGTGGGATTCCTTAACCCTGTCTCTTTGTGACCCATAACCAAGGATTAAATCGATGACCCTCAGGTTTCAAGGTCCAGTAATAGGTCATCAGACTAGTAAAATGACATCTAATAGCCTATACAAACTTCGCAATCAAAATATCTAAATCTTAACTTCATATGACTCATTTTGCCCTATCGACACATATATCAGTAAGATTCCAGGTTATGTACAATTTTTGATCCAAAAATGATAGCTTCCATGTGTATGTTGAGACAGCAACGATGATACTGATGATGATTCCTCAATAGTCTTTGTTGCTATTTGATTAGTTGTTTACACTTTAAGTTTGATGATTGTATTATTGGTTCCAAGATTATTGTTGGTTGCTGTGATCACATAATTCTCCGATTATAATTCAGTCTTCTTGAATAAAAAGACTTCTCTGATTTACTGGTTTCTACTTGGCTTCCACCACGTTGAGGGATAATTCGTGAATTATTATGTGTCAGTCGGTTACCCTAGCAATTTCGTGCAAATCCAGATTCGTATTAGCGATATACTAAACATTCGTAATTATATATATATATATATAGAGAGAGAGAGAGAGAGAGGGAGGGAGGGAGGGAGAAAGTACACACTTTTTGTGAAATAAACGTTACTGGTTTTAGTATGTTCTCTCTCTCTCCCTCCCTCTCCCTCCCTCCCTCACTTAATTATCGGTGCAAAATAATAAATTTATCTACAATTATCATATCTGATATATATATATATATATATATATTCACAATTAGATAAATGCAATATTTAGCAATTCAGGTTTTGACATTATCATTAACGTTAATGTTACAAAGTTGTTTTCTAAATTATGGAATACTACTAATAAGTAACACTATTATAACGGTAACTTGCTTAATCATATTCAAAGTAACCAGAAGGATTCATTACCCATATATATATATATATATAATATATATATATATATATAAAGTATTGAGTTTTTCGAAAACATGGAGTTTCTGTTCTGATTTATTATTTTAAAATACATGATGATTACCCAATGTATGTGTATTCACTAGTTGAAGTGTATTAGTGCTATTACTCATTAAGTTATATGAAGTAGTCATTAGATTAGTTTATTGTTTAATATCATTCTAATTTTTAAGAAAATAGTTTATAGATGGGTCTATTAGGCTGACATTATTCGTAACATTCATCATATGTGTTATAATCAGTATTTTCAATCATTTTTTTCGTTTAGTTAGTGGGTTTTATTGGATATTTTAAAGAGTGATTCTATGTCTAGCTATAAATTTTATTGTACTTGTGATGAGGACTATCTCATTCACAACATGATTGAACACAATCAGTGTAAAAGGTACCATACCTGGAGTATCACAGGCATCATCAATAATAATACTAAATAATAATCGTGAATTATTATGAATTGTAAATGGTGATCCAGTAGATCCTGACTCAGTGTACTATGGATTAGTGATTAAAGTACTTAGCTTTTAGATTATAGGTAGCAGGCTTGAAACCTTACTTACTTCAACTTATGAAGTTTTTACCAGTCCTTATACACCTTAAGTTCAACTCAGAGCCGTGTATACAAGCCTACACTTGTTAAAAGTATTACATAATGACAATACATTATTTCATGAAACCTTATAGTTTTAAATTCAGTCTTTGATTAATGTGATGAGTATACACACAAATCATTAACCCAATACCAAGATAAACCAGTCATCTTTGTGTTTCCTCGATATTTTTGAACATATTCCAAATTAAAATGGAGGTTAGATATTAACACAGTCGGATGCCGACTCAGTGGTCAGGTAGGTTAAGCGTTCGTGCGCGAGACCAAAGACCCTGGGTTCGAATCCCAAGGACGGGATCATGGATGCGCATTGCTGAGTAGAACCTTATGGCGAAACGGCCGTCCAATGCTTCCAGGTTTTCACCGGTGTTCTAATATCAATCGGTTCATGATCTCAATCAAAATCTCCACAACCCCATACTGATAAAATTAAATATCATAACATTGAATACAGTTTCATATGATAGAAATAACATGACTTTTTACATTTTTATTTTTTATTTTTAGATGAAAATAATAACAATTTTTGGAAACTACTCAATTTATTTCCACATTTCCCAATGTTATGGCCTCCTTCCTCAGTTTCTAGTTTTGGTCCTATTTCCTCCTCATCATCATCATCATCATCGTTATTAAAATCTTCGTATAATGAATTAAACAATAACGAGTTATGGCAAAAGTATGCTAAGCATACAATTCAGTTATTAGAGAAAAATCAAACATTATTTAATAATAATAATAATATTACCACTAATACTACTACTAATGATAATGGCAATAATAATAATACTCCTTTTACTAATCGAATACCAGAGATCAATGACATGAATGGTTCATCAACAAGAAACAAGTTAAAATTAAACATTGAACATTTCAACAGTCATAGCAACAATCGAATAGTTACATCATCACCACAGATTGAATTAACTATATCAAATAATAATGATAATAATACAAGTATTAATCTTTCTACAACTATTACCAATACTAATAATATAACAACAATCAATAAAAATGATAATCATTGGAATGTTAATACTATACCAGTTTGTTCAACTTTCTATCATACTCCACAAACATGTTCATTTGAATATAATAATAATAATAATAAATTAAACAATGAACAAGAAACTATTGACAAGTTAACTCCATTGGAATCGGAAAATCTTATTCATCATTCAAATGATCATATTGATCATAGTCCAATTCAACATCATGCAAATAATACAATGAATTGTAATGTTAATAATAGTACATGTAGTAGTGTGTCGAATGAATTATATGATCAAAATTTACCATGTACTACACCGGAACAACAACAACAACAAGCACATTCAACTACTAATACTACTACTACTACTTCTACTAGTAGTACAATACATATTAATGGTGCTGTACATAATACATTGAGAAAAACACGTTCTGATATGAAAGTAATACATAGATATTTAATACAAATTAAACATGATACACGAGAAATTCATCAAATACCTTGTCATGAATTAGACAGTTATATACAAGTAGGTTTAATTAATAAAAAATTTTTCTATTAGTATGACGTGGTTATGGAGATCACAAATTAAAGTTGAAAATATAAACTACAAAGTGCCGACTCAGTGGTTTAATTATTTAAAAGGGCTATCTGTAAAGCCTGAAAAGATCTGGGTTCGATCCTGTGTGGATATGTACCTATGAGAATCTTAGTGGTTCCTGTATATTTATGTAGCATTGACTGTTGCAAATTACTTTCCCAATTTGTCAGAAATTTTAGCGTAAGGCAAATTAAGTGAGACTTATCCTAGTTTCTTAATTTCATCACTGATATACAAAACATACACTTCCAAACAAGATATTGTTTAGTTATTGAATGAAAATATATGAGACATCTACATTGGACATAGAACACAATGTGATATTTACTCAGTTTTACTGGTGAGATGCTACAAAACAGGGCAATAGGTAGGAAGAATGTATACAGTTACATAGTATTTATATAATACATATACATAGCCTTCAATCGTCCATTTGCATACTTCAATGTGTTTTACAGTCTGAATTGCCTTCTCATTCGGTCTCCGCGTATTATGTCAGCACCGTGCTTTTGATTTGCTGAAACTCTTCACTTCGTCTGACAATTGTTGCAATTTCGACGCCACACTCCTCCACACACTACTTAAAAATATCCTTAAAAAATTGCATCCACTATAATACTATATAATGCACCTGACTTCGTTAACAACACAGGTCATAGATTATCATTAGAATTTTAAAGAATCTAATTAAAACCTGCTCGTTTACTTGCTAGAAAGATACAGTACCCTAGTTATACTAGGGTGTTTCAGTTAACGAAAGTACATGCTGAAAATGACAAACCGTATATACATATTACTTGAGAATCTACATTAGTAGTTGGAAATTCTTTACATCAACAATTAATAAAGGATAACCAATACTCTGACGTAATCTATTTCAATAATTGTTAAGTTATGGGAAGTAGATTGAAATGTTTTAATGGAAAAGCATTCATTTCATGAAGAAACTTAAGTTTGTTTAGTTCCATGATTTGGTTTAATTTTTGTACACTGTTGAGTAATGATATTATTCCGTGTGTGCAGGCACAACTCCGCATCCCCAACTGTCATAGACAATATCATAGACAAACAAAATTAGCACTCAATAATTAATCAATATGGACATTCTTGTCTTACACATGGTTATTCACAGCCTGAACAGCTCAGTGGTAACATCTCAGATTGAGAAGTTGCATAACTTGGGCTCAAAACCCTCAGAAAGCATCAGTCCCTTCATAGGTACAGACGAAATTTCGATTCATACAGGGTTTGCTACCTGATTTATCAAACCACTTAGCATTAAGACACAATACACATGAAGTTGTGTCAGGTTAATTAACCATCACGACTAAGAACTAGATAAACATATCATCAGTTACTCCTCAACGATCAATTAATGCATAAACATATAATTAAATTAAAGTCGATACTAAAAATTAGTGCCTAAAAAGCCGAAAGAAATAATTCAGAACATGGATAGAAAGTTAGGTATCAAGTTATTACTCGTAAAACTTCATTATTTTTTCAATGAATGTCCAATCCACAGGTTTTAAAGTTAGGTGGTTAAAGGTAGTTGGCAGAAAATCTTCATCTTAAATTTCATCCTAGTTGGGCCATTTCAGCAACTAGTACATGCAATCTTGAGTGAGTTGGTGTTTCCTGATGGATTTGAGCACAGATCACTCAGTATCACATCCTGAAATGTTAACATTGATCTCCTCGCGCCGAAATCAATCTTTTATAAGAATGAGATAGGAACATTAATTTTCGCAGAACTTATGAACTGGCCTAAGATAGACCACCATTGAGAACCTGGAAGCACTATATGACCATTTTGTTTTAGTACGAGACTCTTCAGCAGTGCCCATCCACCATCCTGGACCTAGGAATCAAACCTAAGACCAAAGCTTCCAGGTTTTTAATAATGGTCTAACTTAGATCGTTTCATAATTTAAATGAAATTCAACAATTCACTTGATATTGTTTGCTTGTATCTTCCCACTGTTAATTAGGACTGTAATTGACCAGTCTCTTGTTGGCACATGTGCATCCTGTGCGAACTGCCTCAATATTATCTTAAGTCATGAGCTTTATAAACAAAGATGAATAGTGACTAGCAGTGGAATTCAGAGCAAACGTTTCGTCCCACTTCGGACTCATCAGCTGGATATACATACATTCCAATGTTGATATTCACAATCTTCACAACTCCATACCGAAAATTTAGATTGATTATTCAGAGTAGTAATCAACATCATGTTTACATAGTTCTTAGTATTAATCCATTTCTATCGGTTCAGATGTTCAAGATTTAACCATCTGTCAACCCTCGACTCTCTCTATATACATACTGTTCATGTTTAATTGTACAGTTATTAATAAATGATGATAGTTAATTTCTCAGTCATTACTTGAATAAACCACAAAATAAACTACAAATTATTATTATTTTTTACATCCTTAAACTTACTAAACTATTTAGAATTAATTAAATTAGGTGAAAACTTAAGTTATATATATTCTCTATTCTTTTATTCATAAAGTGTACCTGAGATAGAAAAGTGTAAACATGAAATCATATGCTATTCCGTTGGATACAGGATATTGATATATAATAATAATAATAATAATGATAACAATAATAATATTTTTTTAGCGGTCACTGTAATTTTTTTTTTTTCAAATTCAATCATCTTCAGTCATTTACATGCACACATGGATACAACACATCTGTATTGCCTATGTATATACATGAAGAAGTGTTCAGCTATTCGTATACATATATCCATTTGATTTTTCATACCATCACTATTATTATTATTACTACTACTACTACTACTACCATTATTATTACTATTGCTAATATCACTACTATTACCATCACTATTATTATTACTATTACCATTATTGCTAGTACTATTACTATTATTACTATTATTGTTACTGTTACTATTATTATAAGTTCGTATTTCGATCAGTTAATAAGTAATTAGATTTGATTCAAGTTGAGAGAGAAAAAAGTATGATTGGAATAAATGAATATTCTAATATTTTTTGTTTATTTTATCATTAATTAGTATTGAACATGATTATACATTGAACAACAACAACAACAACAGATAAACAAAACTGTTAAGTTATTATTGTCTGAGGTCATATTAGGTAAAAAGCTATTATTAGTAGTATTTATTTACCTGTATTATTATTTTTTAATTATTTAATATTTATATATTTGATAAGATATATGGATTATAATATTGAATTAGGTAATTTAAGGATGATTTCATCAGATTCTCATCATGATCTAATATTCATTGTAAAGAAGCTATTCAATAGGATGAATGATTGAATATAACTATTTCATTGGGAAATTAGCTTTAAGTAAAGTGAAAGTCGGTTGGAATAAGTGTCATTAATAATATTGATTAAATTATCATTTTATAACATAATATACATATAGGATCAAAGTTGGATAATGTAAACTAGGGACGAACTAATCAGAGTTAAGAAAAGAGATCTTGGATTTTGATGCGAAATTCGTTTACCCATTTGTCTAAATAGCGTTTTGGTATTTTAGTTGGTATCAGTTCGTGATGAAAACCATACATCTAGTTCCTAACCTTAACCATCAATTGTAAAACATATTCCTTATTCTTCAAACTACTTTATTACCCTCATTTAGCTCTAGTAAGTAGAGGGACATTGTTAATGTCACTATTGGCGTCGTATGAAGGTCGTCTATACATTATAGTCTTACCTATAAATTATTTTAAACTTGAATGATCGCATTAAAATTGTTTTAATACAAAGTTCATTGGCTCAAGTTATCATACTTCAACAACATAACAATCAGAAATTAACAGGATAAACATTGAAAAAGTTAAAGTAATCTGTTTATCTGCGATTGTAAAAGACTAAACAGAAAGGTTATGGTTCAAAATCATCCAAGAGAAGAAATTAAGTTAATGGCTTCTCAACCTGTATTACTGAACTCCTTCAGCCCCTAACCACGTAGTTTACACATTCTCATACATGATTCACTTCAACAATTGATGATTTCGTGAACAACTGTTATGTATTGATTTGATTACATCCAGTTTACATTTAACACTAGACAACTTTGAGTGCTGAGAAAGTTAGTGGTTAAATAATCTGTTATACATACATAATCATTTCAATAAATGAAAATTCTTTTCAAACAAAAACTGTCATGACTAGTGCGTCTGTTAGTTATCATGTGACAAAATCGCCAGTCAGAATATCGAATCCTATAACCTTGTTCCTGTGCTAAGCCAGTGTCGCGTCAACCAGCACTAGCAACCTTGAGCCAACTCTGAATCCTTATTGGTCCTCGATTTAATAGCTTCTCTCCTATTTTTGCCCTTTGAGTCCAGAACACAGTAGCCGCTTCCACAGTATTAACAACATATTTCAGACCGCATTACACCACAAAATGAAAAATAAAAGTTATACTAGATCAAGTCAAAGTGATTGAATGGAAGACTGTAACTAATAGATTGGGAATAAATTAAGAATAGTAAATCGTATAATACTAGCTAATAGATCGAATAAAAACTTATGGTAAAAGAAATGTAAACATATATCCATAATCTATTTACTTTATGTTTATGCAATAAGAATATATATAATGACAGTCTATAAATACTTCCCGAAAGTTACCATTCATTTAATCTTTGGATACAACAACAATATTTACTTCTAACAGCCATATTCACAGTGACTGATCACTGAGTACTGGCCACTGTCTTATTTGTCTACTATTTGGTGTTAACTAAATTCTGCCGATCAATTTATAAAGTAAACATTAATATGTGACTCAACGTCGTGTGGATCACATTCTAATATTAAATAGTTGAAGCTAGTCAATAGAAAATCTTGATTCACCAAGGTTTAATGATGGTTAAGACTCGTCAGCAAGTTTTACTTGAGGGAAATGACACTCCTTGAGGGATTTAAGCTTGCATTAGACAACTCCACAACCTGAGACGTCCCTACCAAGCTGTTAGGGTAACGATGTTTTGTTAGTGAATCCCCACTAACATGCAAATTAAATTTGGAGCTTCCTGTTGATTACTTCATATCAATTAATAATGTCTATACTGATTTTATACTTATGTGAATCTTTTACTCGATATATCAAGTTATTTGATCGTTTACAGATACGTAAGGTAGAATACTATAATCCCCATAGGTTATTTTTCAAACATAATTTCTACTTGACAACTAATACAATTATTATATTCAATTACTTCTTAAGTTTATTCATATTACATTACAGGACTTTGTACTTACCGCGAAAAAGAAAGATGGACACGAATATGAACCGGAATCATTGAAAGCATTTGTACATTCACTGGAAAGACATTTAAAAGTAAGTGAAATAAGTTATTTGTAATTAGTGATTTTCATCAGTTTACATGGTAACACGTTATTCAACTTCCCATAATCTGTCTAATAATAATATGAAGTTTAATGCATTGAATTCTTGATAAAATTTGAGAAGAATCCTTCGCTAGAATTCACTACGATATACTGAAGGAGATAATATGCTCATTGAAGAGTATAGCTTTCCTTAGTTGAATCAATTATCATAGTCACAAATTTGATATTCTAAGGTCCGGACGTCCATCATCTTTATTTGCTCATAAAAATTATCATAAGCATGTAATTAATTGTATTGCCTAATTAATAATCTAACATATAGGTAATTTAATATCAGATGGGTTTTGTGGATATTATAGTAATTTCAATGGTTAAGATCATGAGGCAGTTGAAGCTAGACCACCATGGAAAACCTGGAAGCACTGGACGGCCGTTTCATCCTATCGTGGGACTCCTCAGCAGTGCGCATCCACGACCTCGCCCCCTGCGACATTCCAACCCAGGACCTACTGGTTTCGTGCGCGAGAACCTAACCACTAGACCACTGAGCCGGTTGGCATCCAACGGTGTTAATGTCTAACTTCAACTAATCCACGAAATTGAGCGACACATCCACCATTGTCTTCAGTGAGTTACTATCTCACAACAGACCTGGTTGAACTCCACTTGTCACTACTTCTCACTAGAACTAATGAATTAAGTTTGGGAAAAGTATTTAATCATATAATTTTGTAAATTAATAGACAAATGAAGTATTGAACTTTCAAGAACTTCTAGAGATATTCTAAACAATGGAAACATGGATAAGACAAATGTATTACAAAAAAATTAGAAATATTTTGAAAAGCGGTACCGTGAATTTTGTTTTATCTACTTCAGTTCATGTATTTATTGGATGGATTAGTGTACTTTTGATGTCCTATGAACAGAAGTTATAGGTTTCATTTCGAACTAAAATTATTCGATAAACCTTAGAGAACTATAAAAAAACACTCACCTATAATCTTGCACGAGATTCTAAACTAGGATCTATTTGTTTGCAATACAATAGGATAACATTGAATTACTCATCCGATTTTTACTAGCTATAATGTTGTATTTCAATCAGGTTGTGATGTAGCTAAACAGTTATTTACAGGTAACAGGATCTCATTATTAGTTCAGGAAATTTGATATCATACAAACAACTACAGAAACATTATGTTTACTAGTTTTCTTAAGTACCTAACTTGGTGACTAATTATCTGAGTACCTTCATGGTTGAATTTGGTTACTATAAGGTCTGAAGTTTCCCAAGATTTAATCTCTGGAAATGTTATAGATATGTATTACTGAGTAGTCTCACAGACTAGGAATTAATATCTAGTGCTCTCTGGTCTTTGAATATTTTTCTTGTTTGGTATCGATCCTTAGCAAGACCAACTTTCTTCTGTTTATTTCTTTAAATACATAAACATAGATACAAGAAGGCACCAAATAGATATCCACCACATAAATCGTAAGGGTTGGGATACTACCCAGGTGCCCAAACTGGAGCAGGTGGTTTTCTTAGGGGGCCACAACCCGAGCCTTTGACCGAAAGGTCTAATCCACAATGCAGTGGAACAACGTCAGGAGATGCAGTCCCATGGTGGCCGGTGACCAACAATGTGCTCATGCGCCATTTGTTCCTTCGGGATACTGGAGCCCATATGCACCATTGGTTTGAAATGAGGGTTTTCCAACTGACCTAGGTAGATCATCTATATTCACCAACCCGGTTAAAGCGCCGGACATAGGCTTTTCGTCCTCTCAATTTGGTAAACAACAGTAATGCCGCGAGAAGGTAGTGAGTAGGACTTCCCTGTCAATGGCTATATACACATGACCCTGTGAGAACATTTCGAGAGAGAGAGAGTTGGCTCTCCCCACTCTCAGGCGTACTAGGGTATTTAAGTGGTAGCACTTCTACATTTATCCTTTTAAATCATTTAACCACAAGATTATTTAACTGATTCCTATTTATTTTACAATTCTACAGTAAAATCAACTTATAAATCAATACTGAATCTAATTCTAATACTCATAACAGTATCTATCCATTTACCAAATTACCAAATTACAATATTTTATTTTTTATAATTTTAATTTTAATTAATTATGTGTTCCTTTTCCAAAATCAATAATTTTTTTGTGTTATTTAACAATTGTTTATTTATTTATTTAATCAAAACCATATCAGATGTATCTCACCTGATATGGTTACATTTTATAATAATAATAATAGTAATATTATTATTATTATTGTTAGAATAACATTAATTTCCTTTAGAGAAATAGGAGAATATAGGCAACTACCCTGATTTAATAATAATAATAATAATAATAATAACGTTATTCATAACATAAAAATTCATTATTTATTATATAAATCCAAATGAATATATATAAATATGTATAGATAGACAAACAGACAAATGGATAGATTGATGAATAGACATACAAAATGAGACATATGTTGTACAGACAGACATAGACACACACACATATATATATGTAGAGAGAGAGACACGTACACCACATATATATGTATAATATGTATACAGATTGATTAATTCATTAAATTTTTTTATATTAAAATATAATGTTAGTCAAAATTTAGGTCAAATTAAATAATTCTATTTATTTAATGATTCAAGTTTTATTATTGAAAGATAAAAACGTCTACTTGAAGTTGATGCTGATGATGTTGTTCAGGAGAATGATGAAAGCTTCATGTATGATCAGATCATCTAGCTTAGAGGACAAAACTTCATCAAAAAGATGACGTTTTGTTTTTCTTTAAATCATAGATTGGTTATTTAGATTAATAAAAAACGATTATCAAGTACTGGGAGTTGTTAGTTTACATTATGTGTACATTACATGAAATTTAGGTATCATTATTAAGGTTTGACTTGATAAGTTCGAACAAATTGAGCATTGAGTAGATCGTTATAAATAAAATTAATATATTTGTAATATCCCAGTGAGTAGGAAAAAATGAGATTTTCTGACGTTTCGTGACTCAATGTAAACTACTTCTTCAGAGAATGAGTAACCAAATTAAAATTAATTTTGGTTCTCTGAAGAAGTGGCTCACAATAGGTCACGAAACGTCAGAACATCTCATTTTTTCTACTCACTGGAATATTACAAATATATATGTTTATTTATTACATAAAATGCTTACCCGATAGATTTAAATTTAAAAATTCCTACTTTTATTAAATTATAGTTATCTTAGAAGTATACTGTTTCCTTTAAATAACATTTGTTATTAACGGGGTAAATATTAGAGAAAACTGAATTTTAGCAACACTTCTACCTAACACTGTTGTTTATATATTATTGCAATATAAATCATTGTATTGTTATACTCCTTTACTTGAATGTTGTTTTCATAATGCATAAACTCTTGCTATATGTTGTATCTTACTTAAGTTACTGTTAATTTATTACAGACTTATAACTTGGTTCTCTTCCACTTGTGATGTAGTTGTGTTTATCCTGTGATTTCTTAATTATTGTTGGTGTGGGGTCAAGATTTTACTTGATATTTGTGTATGAGTCAAGTCATGGTTTTGAACTGGATAATTAGAAGTTATCTACTTGCTGTGTTGTGTTCTATTCTGACTATCGAGTGAGTGAGCGAGTGTAGGAGAACTGCATTCTGAACCAAGATCCACTAAGTATTATTCTTGATTGTTATCTTATGATCAATGTCTCACTAAATAGGAAATCTGAGCGAATTAATCAATACTCGAACTAGGTAATACAACCGCTCTCCTATAATTATGACTGAATCACATGGTACCCGATATATATCAAAAGTCTGTTTATTTTCGATCAATTCACTAGTCTCTTAAGATGATAATTTTCTTGATTCTGCCTGCAATATCTGGGTTAAAGCGTTACTTTGAATTTACACGTCAAGAACAGAATTCTTTAATGGAAATTTTTTTAGGGTGAACAGTTTTTTTGGAGATCATTTAATTAGAGGACAAATTATATTACCGATTGACTTTAGCTCTAGTAGCCCTTAAACACTAAGAAACACTCGGATAATTCTTTTGTCTTCATATGAGCCTTCACAGTAGTACTTACCCATTACCCCCTACTGGATGTCGAATTCATGAAGGTCACTCTTAAGGTGATATGTTGACCAGATTCCTGATGAGATCATAGGAGTTCACTGCTAAGGCATTTTGTACAAGAATGAAGTTATTATTCATTGATCTCCAGAATGCTGCTAAAGTCATTCCACAAGTTAAATTGTTCTTAAGATCTAAATATCTCTACAAACTCTCTCGTTCGAATATTAAGAACACTTTACACCAAAGTATTTAAGTACAGTTAATTGTCATTGTCTTTTTTCTTTCCGATACAACTTCGCTTTGACAGTAATAAATAAGCAATAGAAATATTTTTAAATATTTCCTAGTTTATATCATGAACTAGCCTTAGTTAGGGAATGACTGAATACCGTTAAAGCTAAATATCTAAACCATTGAATGTCAGAGAGACCAGAAGTTCCTGTGTTCGATTTATGGTATGATCATGGATACTCAATAGTCAGTAATCCCACAGTTATTCAATGTTGCTTTGTTCACATGGATGGTATAATAAAAGTCAATCCATAATGAAAACTGTTATGTTTAACAATCACCACAAATTTCTTTAACCTTGTCTTTAAATCTCTCTCTCTCCCTCTTTGTCTATGTGGGTTCATATGACCAATAAGTTACAAAGAAATTCATGGTAATATTAAGGTATATAACTTAAAGATAATTAATCTACTCTATAACAATAATCAGATTGCAATTAATTGATTCGTTTTCTTTTTGTGTTTTTTGGGGGGTAAAAAAAAAGTATATTCAAATATGTTGAAGTATATTATTATTGACATTAAAGATATCATGACTAAAGTTTATCATTAAAAAAAGAAGGGTATCTCAATGTGAGTGCATATATATGTGATTATACTTTAGGATGTCTATCCATATATTGACAATATTCTTAGTGTATATACATATGAATTTGTGTATGAAATATCTCTTATACACTATAAAGAATAAATGGATACATTCTGAAATGTAATCTCCATCAGAATCAATAAAGAGGTTTCATTGATTATACAAGTTGTTCTTATCATCTCATATATAGTACCCCCGTGTAACTATCCTTTTATTTATATTAATTCATTTACAAACATACTTTACTTAGACCATCTATCCATTTGTACACACATACATACATACACAGCACTCTTATTACACACCGATTTAGAAGAAAATATATCATATATATATATACATAAAAAGTGTACTAATTTTGTCATTTCTGTAACAGTTTTAATAAATACTTGGATAGTGTAAATATTCTTGATACATTGTAATCTGATCAGATTACATCACAGTAAAAGAAAAAAACTGTACTGATAGTGATATAATAAATCAACGTAATTCAATCAGTATTTGAGGTTATGTAAGTTTTCTTTCATTCTAGATATATTAATTAGTAAATATCTATATGTACCAAAAGCAGTGGAAGATGGTTGAGTAATACGGTGGATTGATTAAAGTTAGACATGTAAACTGTTGGATACCATCTTAGTGGTTAAGTGCTCATTAGGAGTTTGAAAGTCATTGGTTTGATACCTAATGGAGTTGTGGGTTCATACTACTGACAAGTCCCATACTATAATTAAATACCTGTCTAGTGCATCCTGATTTCAATGGTTGTTTAATTTAATGCTAATGATGATGACTGTTTCACTCCCTGAATATCTTAATTATTTGAAATTAGGATTTTTTTAGGTGGCTGATTGACTTGAGGAGTTATCTCTAAAAGGTCTAATTCATATTTGGGTTTTTATTTCTCATTCAATATCATACAGAATACAATAAATACATGTCCTAACAGTTTTCTAATAATCATTTATGTCTTTTCTTTAAAAAAATTTATTTAGCATCATGGCTATTCACATTCAGTGCTTAAAGGTAATGCATTCGCTGGAACACGATCTGTGTTGAATCAACGTTTAAATGAATTACGTGCACTCAGTCGATCTGGTGTATCAACTAATGGTGCATATGCCTATTCATCAAATGGTGCCAATAATCATAATAACAGTAATAAACGTGTATCGGGAGTTGGCAATGATTCAACATCAGAGAACAGACCAATTAATTATACAAGAAAGCATAATTCTAATCCAAATGGATTATCTTCAGCTGAACTACTTCAAGCTCGTATACTTGGTACAGATAATCCTCAGGTAAGTACGGAATTCAGCATTAAATAGTTATTAAAATTCATACAATGTTCATATTACAAATAAGGAATTTCTTCAGTTTTTTAATTATATATTTCTTACTTACCTACGCCTGTTACTCCCAATGGAGTATAGGCCGCCGACCAGCATTCTCCAACCCACTCTGTCCTGGGCCTTTCCAGTTCTGTCCAATTCTTGTTCATATTTCTCATGTCTGTCTCCATTTCTCGACGTAATGTGTTCTTTGGTCTTCCTTTATCTCCTTTGACCTTGAGGATTCCATGTGAGGGCCTGCCTCGTGACGCAGTTGGGTGCTTCCTTCAATGTATGTCCTATCCACTTCCATCGCTTCTTCCTGATTTCTTCCTCCGTTGGGAACTGGTTTGTTCTCTCCCATAGTAGGTTGTTGCTGATAGTGTCTGATCAACGGATCCGAAGCATTTTGCGTAGACAACTGTTAATAAACACTTGTATCTTCTGGATGATGGCTTTCGTAATTCTCCAAGTTTCCGACCCACACAGTAGAACTGTTTTGACATTTACATTGAAAATTTTGACCTTAGTGTTGGTTGATAGTTGTTTCGAATTCCAGATGTTCTTCGGTTGTAGATATGCTGCTCTTGCTTTTCCGATCCAAAACTTCACATCTGAATCAGACCCACCGTGTTCATCAATGTTACTACCCAGATATGTAAAGGTTTTTACATCTTCCAAAAAAATAATTCCTATAGATTTCCGTTTAGTATAATTTGAAAGAACATTAGCGAGTAATTAAAAAGTAAATCAACACTGAATACGCTTATTTAAACAATGTAAGTATTCAGTTGTTGTTGTTGTTTTTTAAGAACACAATTTAAGATAAGAGTAGCTGATTGACCATTTCTGTCTATGATAAGTTTTTATCCGATGGAAAGCTCCATTCCTGTTAAGATTACAGATACATCTTACTAATTAGTATCAACTAGAATAAAACTAATATTCAATGATTAATTGACGAATTCCTCCTATCTAAGAAGTAAAATAGTTGTGTTCGCTAAGAAAAATATATAGTACGTGTTGAAACGAAAGATATTTTTCATGTATCTAATGTGAAATGAGTTCAACCAGTCGATTAATTACACATGACATTAGTTTAAACTACATATATACCGGCAAAATGTACATTTCACTAAGCATATGTTAATGGTGTCTGAAATGATTTTAGAAAATCACCACAATAGATTACGTAACCGAAATTGTAATTTATAAGGATTCCGTTCCTCAAATCTTAACTAAATAAACTCTAGATGACAGAATCACATAGGCTAACCTGCTCAGAAATTATAAATATTACTAGAAAATTATAACTTGTAGATGTTGAATTTCACTATCATATTGTATTACTGGGTGATTTGTTAGTTAACAAATCAATAATCAAGGATAAGGGATAAATGTCCTCATAAACAAACCATCATTGTCTGTTTAAGGATGATTGTCTATGTATATTGAATTTTTAACCAAATGACTTGCCAAAAACAACTAGTTTTCTTCCATTATTCATGATTATTATTAGAGACAATTAAATTTATGAATGAACAAAAAGATATTCATTGTTGAAGGGTCCTACGTTAAGAGGAAATAACTATCCAATGCTTACTGTTTTCCATTGATATCCCAACTGAGATTCACTTATAACCAATACTGCTTAAGAAAAAAATTGTATAAATGTAGTTTCATAATAAGGAGTGATTCTAACTTGATGGAAGTATTGAAATAGTATTGTCTTGTTTCTAGCATGGAATTACTCAGAAGTGTATAGTACTTGGTCCTATCAGAGATCAAACCTAAGAATTTCAGACTTTACAAATTATTTGTTACGGGTTATTAATTCCTTCGCTAATTTGAGATTGGTGTACTAGATTTAAAGTCACGCTCTATAAGTATGAGGACTAGTTACAATACTCGGTTATTTAAACCAAATTATATAGAGTAAGGTTCAAACCCGCCATTTAGAGGCTGAAATTTGAACTACCTAACCAGTGAGTTATCATCCCACTAAGAATAAATTACTGTCAGATTATTGAGTTAGGAACAGTTTATTCACATTTCCAATGTTCAGTTAAGTAGCAATATTGAGAGACTTCATTTGTACTGAAAAAATTCTTATAGAACTGAACAATCTATATGAATCTATCTTAGTAATAAAAAACATTGCTGCCTTGGGTTCGAATCCCACGAGGCGGGGTCGTGAATGCGCACTGCTGAGAAGTCCCACAATAGAAAGAAACGGCCATCCAGTGCTTCTAGGTTTTCTATGGTGATCTAGCTTCAATCGACTCATAACCTCAACTATTTAAAAAAAATCATTTTTTCTTAGCTAGTTAACATAATCCAAAGAAAGTAACCAATGTCATTTACGTTAGATCTGAAAACTGAATTAACACAGCATGACATGTCTATACATATCTATTCAATATATTTATATTGTAATACAGTTTACGGTTGTTACTACAATCCGTCTGATAATTAAACTGGAAAATTTGATATTCATCCGTATAGAAAGTGTAATGTTGTAATATGAAACTTTTATTTTGTTTCCTTTTTTCCGTTTGAAATTAATACAGAACTGATTTGTTTCATAACCAATTAGTTAAATAAGTCAATGACCTAAAATAAAGTTGTATATATCTGTGTGTTTTATCTCTAAGGTGGTATATTTTTGTTTCTGTTCTCTTTCAAGAGGTAGAGATGGTATTTATAAGTGATGAATAAGAATATAAACATTTTACTAGTTAACTGTATCAAATTTGATTGGTACATGTTAGATTATTGAATTCAAATGATTTGAGGACTTTACAGTATGTGCCACGTTAATTGAGGCTGGTCAACAAGATATATATATATATATATATTTCCAATTTGGAAATAACTAATTCGGACAACAATAAGAATTGAAGGGAAACTCGAGATTCAAGGTGTTGTACTAACTAAAATATTTGTTTTGGTTGTTTGAATCTTCACGTTGATTTTATAGACTGTAATTGACCAGTCACTTTTGGATTATGTTCATCCTGTATGGATTACCTTGATATTGCTAATAAGTTATAAGCAGTTTAAGCAGAGTTAGATGGCGGTTAGCAGTGGACTTGTTAGCTGGATGTGCCTGCATCTTAGTGTTAATGCTTACGACGAAAGTGGAACTCTATATCTTTCACTTCAAACTCCCAAAGCCTTATCCACTTGGCTAATGAGTCTAATTAACTTAACCTAATATTAAAATATAGTTTCTACGATATTGTTATGGTTTTTTTAAACCAATGAAAGAAAATAAAGAATATCTAGAGGTAACATGTTCAACTAAAGATCTAAACACTTTGAGTTCAATTGTATATGAACTCGTGTGTATGTGTAGGTTACTCGCTATTCGATGATCTAATGAGAGTTTTTTTCCCACTTCATAAGAAGTATTAGCAAGTTTATGGATGGTTATAGTTAATAGTTGTATTAAGTTATAGCTTCAATAGTCAAAACATATTTAGTATATACAGAGGTATTCATTTAAAATTTAATTCTATGTTGACAGTGGTAGTTCATTACTTTCAATGTAGAAACATATAATCACGTTGTACATTGGCTGTTCATTATAGATTATTCTAATCAGCTGCCTACTAATAATAATACTTAGATATTCCAATAACATTCATACAAAAGTTTGGGTTTAGAATTATTCCAATAATCATATATATGTAGGTATATAGACACTCTATATCTGGAGAATATGTGATAACAATATAAATCTAACAAATATATTTGCACGAAGAAATTAACCTATACAAGTTAATTTGGTCAGCCAGGGAATCAGCTGATTTCTGACGTTCCAGTCTTTTGTCATTAATTCATCTATTTGAATTACTGTATACTCTATTTGAACTTATTTAATTAAAGTTGATCTGAAGGATTGAGCTCTACCCTGTTTGACTATCATCAACTGAATACACTTGCTTCACCCACTTTGATAATCATATGGAGATACGAACTCAACACTTTTAGCTTTGAAATTTTACACATTATCCATTGAGCTGCTAGGCCCCCAGATAATCCTTAACTTGTTCAATGAATGTGAAAAGTATTAGTAAGGAGTTTATAATGTCCTGCTGGGTTCCAGTATCAATATGAAAATCAGCACCGGGATACTGATGTCACTAATAAGACAAAAATTACTTCCTAAATCCTACTTCTAGTTTTATCCCAAATTTTCCAAAATGTATACTTAGGGGTAGTATCGTGAATGCACATTTCTCAGTACAGACTCATGGGCTGTGTTCCTTAATATCAACAACGGGAGAACGTGCGATTTTTCTTATAAAAAATTCCCAAATCAGCCTTGAAAAAATATTTTTTTGTTTTTTGCTTTTTAGGCAATACTGAATAGTTTATGGCTTATGAACAGAACTCAATTCAATATTGGCGGTACACAAAGACACCGAAATTTAGTTTGGGGTCAATTTCAACTGATCACTGATGATAATGGAATTAAAGCAATTAAATTCACTCCATTGTTTGAATCTGCTGAAGTACGTTATTGTCGTGGTTATGGTGGAACACGTGGTGGTGCTGCAAATCATGATCCATTAGCAAAAACACAACCACTTAGTTGTACTGGTAGTGCTAAACGTCAACCTCTTCCATTCAATTGTGTTGAATTATTTGAAATATATGCTAATTTACGACCATTAGAAGCTCGTGGTGTTTCTGAGCCATTCTATCTATGTCCAGATATTAATTGGGATCAAAATAATCAAAATGGAATTTGTAATAGTTGGTTTAAAACAAATGCAGCTGGATCACAATTATTATCACGTATACCACGTTCACTTGGTTTGAAACCTTCTAAAGAGCCAATTTCAATATCTGGTATAAATTCATCTAATATACACAAATTACAAACATCGAATTCATTGATTCCTAATGAAATAAAAGATTCTGATAGATTATTTACAGATCATTGTAATCAAATCTTGTCAAATTTATCAAATTATCGAGATATTTATCAGATACAATCACAAAATAACACTATCACTAATGATCATCATCATAATAATAATAGTCATAGCAACAATTATTATTTCAATAATCTTAGTCGTTCAATATCCAATAACAATTTAATTTCACAGAATTTATTTAATTTTTTCCCCTTTCTATTTCCACCAACACCATCATCATCAGCAGCAGCAGCTACCATAACAACAACAACAACGGCAACAACCTTAGCATCATCGGTGGATGAGCAAAGCTTAACTTGTCATTCATTATTGAATGCATCAATTCCATTACCTAGTATTCTGCAAAATTTAAATTCTAGTTTATTTCAACAAACGTTTAAGGAGAATGTCTCAACGATTCGTGAAGAGTATAATAATAGTAATATTGATAATAACAATAGTAATAATAATAATAATAACAATAATAATAATAGTGATAATTTTCCATTTTCACATGAACAGTTTGAAGAAGAACAGTGTGGACACAATTCGACTCGGAATAAAATTTCTTCACCAACAACTGGAGATGAAGATGATGATAGTAGAGGAGAAGGAGGACAAATCGATGTAAATGAAGGAGATGAACTAGAAGTAGACGATGAGGAAACGCAAAATATTAAAATAATTAATTCAAATTGTTTTTCTCCAACATTAGAAACTGAACCAGAAATTGAAAATTTATCAACATTAGATGATAATTCATCGAAATTACTCACAAAATTATCTTCAACAATTAGAAATGATCTACTCCATTCTCCTGATAGAAATGAACAATATGAATCTGTTGTAAATAGTTCACATCATTCAAAATCATTATCTTCATCCTCGTGTTTATCTTCATCATCTCCTTCTTCTGCTTCTTCATGTTCATCTTCAGCAGACATTGGAACATTTAATCGAAAAACCCATCATCACCGTCATCATCATCGTCATCCTCACCACCCCAACCATCAAAGTCATAGTCAACGATTTGAAATAAAATCAACTCGTCCATCATATCAACAGGTAGATGATTTCAACTGTAGACTAACAGATAATTACAACAAAGAGCACTGGTCATCATCGGAGTCATCATCATCATCATCACCATCACCTCGTTTAACAACACCTTTATCGACAACAGTAACTAATACAACTATATCAATTGCATCATCATTATTATCAACAACACCTTCATCAACACCATTAATCAAAAGTACAACATCAATATTAGCTCGATTCAACAAAATTGCATAATTGAATACAATATAAACTTGAATATAGAAGTTTTTTTTAATAACAACATTGTGTATTACTCTTCATTTCACTTGTCAAAGTAAAATTTCAATTTTACAAAACAAAACAAATCTGTTTACTGTAAATGAATCAATGGATTATTTGAGTTTATAATGTGTTATTATTATTAGTAGTAGTATAAGACAGATTGAAAATAATTAGGAATTTCATGTGTTTTCTTTTTTCTCTCTCTCTCTCTCATTTACTTCCTTTTATATTTGTACATACAAAAATCATCACTCGCACACACACACACACAGACCCATGTATCTCACTTTCTTTTACTTCAAACGATAGGTAATCCATTTACTATCTATCTATTATGACAATATGTATTAGTATTCATGATATATTTGTGATGATTTTTAACAATAATTCATTATAAGAGAGTAGAATGAAAGGGAAACGCACACAATTTCTTTTTTGTTTTGCACACTTTTACAATTTTCATAAGTATCAATATCAAGCATATTCTATTTAAGTAGTATCTTCATTATAAAAGTTAAAATTATTATAATGAATACAAGTATTAGTATTAAATAGACTTTTATTGTTACATTATTGATTAGTATTACTATTAATAGACTTTCTCGAACTACTGCTTACCCTCCCCCCCTCAAGTGGGCAAAAAATACATGATACTACTTTTATGATTATTAAAATGCATGTACAATTGTATACTTTCTACCCCTAATTAACTTTTCCTCCCTCTTCACAACCCCCTCCCCCTCAAAAAAGACCCTGTTTTCTTCATCTTATTGGAATAAATTGTTTAACAGTTAGTAATACTATTACTACTAATAACACTATTAATATTTGATAGAAAATACAAATAAAATAGTAGTTTTTGGTAGTTTTTCTACAATTCAATTTGATTATCTTTACTCATTCAGAGAAATCAGTATTCAACAGCGTTATTTAGTATTAGTTACAAAGTTATTTATAATTGCCTATATTAGGCATACTAATTTTCTTTCAGGTATACATTTATTATATAACAAATTGAAATCTAGTTGGGGACAGTTAAAAAAAAACCATTTTCTATGATATACAACGCTCACAACTTTTACTTTATACCTCAAAGTGATTTTAGATAGATAATCATTTTGAGCTGAAGAACTATTGAGCAACTAAGTCGTTCCTAGTATGCAACTCACTATCTCTGATTACCTACAAATGTATCAGGAATTGAACTCACCACCTTTAAATTTCACTGTAGTCAACTAAACTTCGAACCACTAACCATTTACATTTCTAACTTCAGTTAATTTACGATGTTATCTAACCATCATTTGTTGTCATTGATGATATCAGTCTCATTATCGGCATAGTTGAATTTATTTCGCTAGAACGTGGAAACTGTTTCTAACATGAACAAGCACAATGATAGTAATTAATTTGTATTTATTTCGAAAATCAGAAATGAAGTCCCATCGATATTTTTTTGTCTCTGTAATCTTACTACTCGAGCCTTGTATTTTGTCGAGACATAATCGTTGATCAGAGTACTGTCTTTTATATTCTATCTGACTGAGATTTATCGAGCAAATAAGGGTGTACAAAAGAATTGGAGTTTTATGTACAAATCATTAGTCCGATAATCTCACAATACTGAACAGAACATATGACAGAAGGCATTTGAGAAGCATTCATCAATAGTTAGTTCGAGTACAGGAAACGAGGGTACTTAAAAAATTCTATGTGACCTTGAAATTCTGGAAGCGGTAACAAGACAGGCTATTGTTCAATCAGGATAATAAAAATACAATTTCCCGTTTTCTATAATTTTCAAAGGACCTTAATTAGTCGAAGTATAATCTCAGTTATCCTTGCTTCTGAAGACCTTTCAGAAGAATTATCAAGGGCTTCAAACAAATCAGTATCATGCATATACATGATTTATATATATATAACTGAATAGTAATCAATGTCACATTTGCCACGTCTTTCAATGATGACGGAGTTTTGTCAAACAAGCTATAATGTGGCCAAAAGTGTGAATGGATTGAGATCTCGTCCGCCACTTTAATATAAGGTGATATGAGGTAGTCAGCATGATACATTGAATTGAGGTTTCATACTAGTCGCTATTCGTCAGCAAGGTTATTTCTAATCTTATGGGAACTGATGTTCACTATAGGATTCTAACCCACATCACCAAGCTTCAGTCTAAAACGTTAACATTGATCTATTCGGGTAGTGATTGATTAGACAAGTACATCATTGGGCACTACTCAGTAATCAATTAGTTTCAAATAACTCGGTCATATAATAAGAAAATCACTGCCCTAATAGGTGAATATTAACGTCTTAGACTAAAAAGCTTGTTTCGAGTATTTGAAGCCGTAGGTAAGATCAGTTAGTTCAAAATTCCAGGTACATATTCCTGTTGAGTACCAACTTGAGTGAAATTTAGATCAAGTAAGGTATTCTTCCCTGTATCATTAGTAAGTCATCATTTTTTATGGATTCAATTAACTTCATCTGTTATAGCTTCCAACTAGAATTCTTAAATTCATACTATGCCAAATAAACTAACTGAAGTTCAAAATTCACACTATGGAATTCTGGTTTAATAATAAAATGACATTTAATTCACTTCATGAACATTAAATCTTGTACTCGTTCCCGTGTGTTATGTATAAGGTACAGTGCTACCAATAAGCAAGAAATTAAGATAAAAAGGCAAACCACTGTCATTCAGTTTATTAACTAAGTTCGTGAACAATATATATATATATATATAATATATATATATATATATAGTGAGCGAACTCTCAAGTAGGGATAAACAATTTATTATTTAATACACAATTACAGAGCACATCTTCTTGGAACTGTTTCTTCCAAGATTCATCGTTACTTCATTCTTGTTGTCAGTACAATTACTCTCTGTTTACATTCTTGTTCTCTTCAATTTGATCTTCTCAACCTACAGTTGTCAGGGGTTCCATCTCTGAATGCTGGTACGATTATACTGCGCGGCAGTTCGTTCTGTTCTAATTTGCGGCCACGAAACGTACTCGTAAGCTACTAGTATTTGATCGCAGATACTTCAGGTACATTGCTCGTATCTGCTGGGATAACAGAGTAAGTAATAGTGAAGTCAGATGCAGAGTATTGGGGAATGATGGTAAATCAGTTGATAAGGTTGTGAATCTTCATCGACTGAGATGGTTGGGCCACGTGTTATGTGTGCCTGGACACCGATTAACACGACCCGCAATGCTGACTAGTGTTAGAGACGGTTAGAAGAAAGTTAGGGGCGGCAAAACCAAAACGTGGCATCAGTCCTTGAAGTCACTAACTTCTGGTCTGAGTCATGATGGTAGATGCAGACTACTTGGTTGGGGTCCGCGTGAATATCGTAACCGGTGGTTGGAGACTGTGTGTGACATGACTCAGAATCAATCACAATGATGTTGGTGTATACACATTTTGTTTTCCCCTAAACCGTGAGATTAAAATCACTTCATATCTTTTTTTCTACCAACTAATTCTTTCTTCCTGTACTATATGCTTATATGCATTGTTTCTTTTAAATATTACCATCATTGAATTAAATACTTCTATGAATCCGGTGTCGATCTTGCTGTGCTAATGAATTAACTCTATTTATCCTCGATAATAACTCTTTATTACTGAAGTTATTAGTGCATATTTGTCAAAACTATAGAACATGAAAAAATATGAAAGTTGCAAGTTTCAATTAATAATGAATGTTGAAGGATGACAAAAATTAAATGATCATTACATACTGATTTATAGTATTCAGTTAATGGACAATACTGGACTATATGTCATTATATCATTAATTGAAAACAAACATTAGGACTGGAACTTGGTACTTGTCATTTCAAACAACAACACTTAGTTCACTAAGGAATTGAGTTAAGACAATTGTTGATTTGTTCTAGACTCATATTTTTTTCACAGATTGAAATCATGAGTCGGTTGAAGCTAGACCACCATGGAAAACCTGGAAGCACTGAACGGCCGTCTCGTCCTAGCACGGGACTCCTCAGCAGTGCGCATCCACGACCCCGCACCCCGCAGGATTCGAACCCAGGACCTACTGGCTTCGCGCGCGAGCACTTAACCATCAGACCACCGAGCAGGCATCTGACGGTGTTAATGTCTAACTTAAACCAATCCACGAAGTTGCGCCACGGTATACCACTGTCTTCAGTGAGTTGATATCTCACAACAGACCTGGTTGTACTCCACTGGTAACGGCTTCCCACTAGAACTCCAGGAGTATCTCTTGAAGTCAGTCATTAGTGAGCAGATGATTATTATCAGAAGGGGTTTGTGGAGATTTTAAAAATTTCACAGATTGAAATCATATTTTTTTGTTGATGTTCAGAGTTAAAAAAAACCCAGTTAATACAAGCCCCTACAAATACTTGCATATTATTTAAATCATTACGGGAGTTGAAGAGATTGTTGAACTTTAGTGAGACTACGAACTACTCTAAGTTAAATAACCATTGAAAACTTCAAAACACTGGTCAGCTGTTTCGTTCTGGCATGGGATTTCTTAGCAATGTTTATCTGCAACTTCCTATCAGCCATCGAATCTAGAATCTTCGATTTCACGAACAAAAGTTTAACTTATCGAAAACCAAGCTAGAATCCAAAGGTGTGCAGATATAATTTCAAGGAACCCATGATATTGTACAACCATCTTTTATTGTCTTCAGGGAGTGACTTCTTCACACCCGACACGGTTGAAACCCATAGGTAATAGGGTTGAGGATGCACACTTCTGAGGAGCCTTACACCAGAGAGAAACAGTTTTCAAGTGTTCACAGGTTTTAAATATTTGGTTATATCAATTCATAATAAAAAAATAAGTTAATGATTGACTAGACATTAGTAGCTGAATGAATAATGTTTCAACGTTTCAAGCAATAAGTGACCGGTTGCAATTTCAATGTCAACATCAACACTGCAAATGTAACAAGTATCTTCAGTTAAAAAGTCTCAAATAACGCTAACCATTTGTCATGGATTCCTTTACCAACCACAGTACAAATTTACCAAGAACCTTGTCACTAAAAAGCAATAGAAAACTATCCATTCAAGGTACATATATCTCAAATGAGAATGATCAACTACTATCCTATTTATGGACAATGAAAGAAGTCAAACTTTTACAAAAGTTAAAATAAAGTGCATCATTTATATTTTAACTCTTTTGTAGAAATTAAAAAAACACACATTTTACAATCATAATGTAAATGACAAATGTGAATTACACGTGAAAATTAACGTGATAATCATCTTTATTTCGGCATTTTATCTCAATATTGTTTTGATTCTTATATGTTATTCAACAAGAATTACAAAATAAAAATTGCTCATTAAAACAAAAGATGAAAGTCAAGATTATTCAATTGTCTTATCTATTACTACTCAAAGTTTATTATTTTTTTGGTATATAATGATACTTGACTATGAACAGTGGAGATAATCTGTGTCGGGTGTGAGGCAGTTAAATTTGGACATTAACACTGTTGGATACCGATTCAGTGGTCTAAAGATTAAGCATTTGAGTGCAAGACTGAAGGTTCTAGGTTCGACTACCGCTTGCGGGATTGTGTATGCTCATTGCTGAAGAGTTCCACACGGGGACGAAACAGTCATTCAGCGCTTACAGGTTTTTTATTGGTGGTCTAACATTGATCAATTTGTGATCTCAATCAAGACATTCGGCTAATGATCTCTTTCTAAACATTTATAAATTGTCGCTTATTTACTGAATTCAAACGACATCATCCTACCACTGAGTTGAT